AATTCTTCAATTTCCAAACAATTTCACAAGGTAGAACTCAATTTCTCTCCCTCTCCCTCTCTTAGTCGGCTAAAGCAAGGAAAATGGCTGATCAAAATGTGTTTTGATACAAGGTGTAATGAGGCTCAAACATGTATGTTGAGTGGGCCACTAAGGGTGGCAATTTGGTAATTAAGCCTAACTCTTTAATTAGCTTATTTTAATCTAATTTAATCATACCTAATCAGTTTTCAGATAAATATACCATAAAATCACATAAATGATGTTGATCATAAAACACCAATCAATTTTGGATTCGGCCGCCGATAAGGCCTTCAATTTACAGTCTAAACATATAAACATGAACAGATAATCATACAGTCAAACAGATAGAATGCAATGTAACGAGCATATACTCGATCAATTCGGTTCCCAATTTCAGTCAGCCAGTTCCGTAGTTTATTCAGTTCAATTATCAGTCATAATCAGTCTCGGTTAACAGTAATTAGCAGTTAATCAGTCATTAATCGGTAAACAGTATGAGGGTTGTTACAGAGGCGCTGCCATTTCTTGGAAATCCACGAAACAAACATGCATCACACGATCCACAATGGAATCCGAGTTCATTGCTTTGGACAAAGCAGGAGAAGAAGCAGAATGGCTTCGTCACTTCTTAGAAGACATTCCAATGTGGCCAAAACCTGTGCCAACTATTTGCATTCATTGTGATAGTCAATCTGTAATAGGCAGAGTACAGAATCATATGTATAACGGTAAGTCACGACATATTCGTCGTCGACATAATACCGTAAGACAATTGTTGTCAAACGGAATAATCTTAATAGATTATATAAAATCTAAAGAGAATATTGCAGATCCATTAACAAAAGGTTTGACAAAAGAGCTAGTGTATAGTTCATCGAAGGGGGTGGGATTAAAGCCTATTACATAAGAGTCGTCATAATGGAAACCCTACTTATATGACTGGAGATCCCAAGAACTAAGTTCAAAGGGACAACTAAGTTATGTATGGCTCGCTAGAAATCACCAAAGGATTAAGTTCCTACCCATTCCTATGGTGAGAGTGATATCTGCAACATATGTTGTCTGCAGGGGTATAAGGATAAGCTTTGCTTTTAATGATTACTTATATCTTGATTAAGGCATAAAATCAAGATGAGTATGAGGAGATACTCACAATAAGAATCACCTATATGAGTGTTGAACTGAGGCCGGTTCTATGAGAATGAAAGAGGCTACATTCTCTAGAAACACTCATGAAAACCAGGAGCGTTCAAGGCCAAAATGAACACAACAGTGAGAACCACGATGTGTTAGAAGATATTTTGTGTGAAATCTATTGTCTTGGCTTACACAAACGGCTGAACAATTTAATCTTTTTGGGCAAAAAACATTTGAATTTAATTTTATTTTTGGTAAAATAAAAATCCAGAATTCAAAATTAAACTGGTTTGGTTTTACTATATATCCAAACAGGGCCCTTCTCGTTTTTAAACCGGAATTAAACTAGTCCGAATTTACTGTACACCTAAACAGGGCCCTTCCCATTTTTGTTATCTGTTTGAATAGTAATCCAACAGATTCAAATCTGTTTGAATTCAAAACCAACAGGTTTCATACCTGTTCAATTCAAAACCTACAGCCACCATTACATCTATAAATAGGACATCCCTCATTTGGATTTTGAAACTCTAATTTTCGTCCTTCATAATTCTGCAAACATCCTCTTCATTTTGTTGCATTATTTTCTTGTCAGAGAGAGTATAAACACTTAGTGTGTTCGTTAAGCAAACAATTTGTAGTGCTACTATTGTTTGTAGTAGATCATTTTATCCTGGAAAATAGACGTCCAAATTCTGAAAGCACCGTGGCCTTACGCAATCCTTCGGTAAGATTACAAACCCAATTAAAGGGAAGAACACCATTAAGAAAAGCCTTAGCAGTCTAATGGGCAACACCATTGGCCTCACGAGGAGTCCGCAAGAAAGAGAGATTACACTTCCTAGCCAACAGATTGTTACAAGCGCGCCACTAGAAATGCTGAAATTTAGGGGAAACCGAGAGTGTCCACATGAATTTCCACACATGTTCGGGAATCTGAAAAGAGGAGGACGGCCAGTCTCCAGCTTGATGCTGTTGATATTCAATTTCCACTTTGTACCCTAACTTGACTGAAGAAGTACCCTTCGAATCATGGTGCCAAATAAGTCGATCATTTGGTCTTCAGTCGCAATGGGAATCGAACAAGTCTCTTCTACGTCTTCATGAGAGACCAAACTATGCAACACGGTTTTATTCCAACATCTAGAGGTAGAGTTGATGGCTTCACTAACTATAGACAGATTGCATCCGCTAGGTTTATAGGATTTCACTCATAAATTTTTTGAAGAAGCAACCCACTTGTCTTCCTAGAACTTGATGGACTTTCCATTGTTGGCTTGCCAACGGACCCTCTGATTAAGCACCTTACGACCCTTCAAAATACTTACCCAAGCCCATGATGCCCTAGCCCCTTTCTTAGCATTCCAAAAGTCCATATTTGGAAAATACAGACCCATGAGAAATTGAGCACAAAAGGAATTAGGGTATTTGCACAACCACCATCCCAGTCGGGCTAACAAAGCTTTGTTGACAGTACGAAAATCCCGAAACCCCATCCCTCCTTCAAGCTTTGACATGGACGTCTTCTCCCATGAGGCCCAATGGATACCTCTACTCTCACGGTCTCCTTTCCACCAAAAGTTGCTCAACAAAGAGTTTAAATCAACACAGAGCTTCTTAGGAAATAGAAAGCAAGCCATTGCATAGGTGGGTATAGCTTGGGCGACCAATTTAAGAAGCATTTCCCGATAAACAAACAAAGTTGCACCAACGAGTCACCTCTCATGGGTCGAGATGTAACGCCTATTGTTTTTTGGATTTTTTAAAAAATTTATTACTATTTTTTTTTTCATAATTTTTGATGAACTCATGGGCCGGTTTGATTGGCAACCCAATAGGCCACCTCTCATAGGTGGGCCTGCCCAGCCGTGAGCTATTGGGCTAAATAATGACCCTTAGTTTTGGCCTTTGGGCTACAGATCAACCAAAATAAGCAGGTGGTGTGCATGCTTTTTTAAAAAGCCTCTCCCCTGCCCCTTCCTCCTCCACGGACCCCTCCACCCCATTTATGTAACTCCTCAACCCCTCCCCTCCTCTCCTCACCTCATCACCCCCACCTCTTTACTTTTCCAAGGATTTAGTTTACATTTTTTTTTTTTTTATCGGCAAAGAAAAATTTCATTAAAAACATGAAATTAAAGGTACAAGAAGATGAAATGCACTGAGAGAGTTTCGGAAAGTATAAAATACTCCTACTACTGCTACTCGCAACCATACAACCAACCCCTCGGCCTCACGATTTTTTTTTTTTTTTAAACAAAAAAAAGTTAAGAAGAACTTAACAGAATATAAAATACATGATTTCCCAAAAAATCAACCCACCAAAATCAAACCACAAAATCAAGCTAGTAACCCAAATATTTTAAACACCAACTACACTCCCACAGCCCACACTACCCAAGACCCACGCCACCCACGCCTACTCTGCAGCTCACGCCCACGTCTACTCTGCAGCCAACCACCCATCTGAACACTTAAGCTGCTGTGCGGCTGCACTCCCGAGGCCACACCCACTCTGCTGCACTCTACTGCACTCCCCGCACCACCGGAAAACACCATTAACCAACAGCCCACAGCTCCAAACACCATTGCAACTCCAAACTCCGAAGACAGATTAACACCCAACCTCCAAACTCCAAACTCCGACCTCCACACTTGCTGCCGAACAACTTGCCAAACTCCAAACACCACCGGAAAAAACCATCAACCAACAGCCCACAGCTCCAAACACTATTGCAACTCCAAACTCCATTGCAACTCCAAACTCCAACCTCCAAACTCTGAAGACAGATTAACACCCAACCTCCAAACTCCAAACTCCAACCTCCACACTTGTTGCCGAAGACACCCACACCCACACCCACTGCAGCTCCACACAGAACAACACCCGAAGACAGATCAACACCCACACCCACTGCAGCTCCACATACCAACCAAAACACCGACCAACCGCTGGGACACCACCAAACATTAGAAGAAGATCACCCCTCAAACTCTCACCCAAAGAGGAGCGCAAGAATGAAAACCAGACAGATTTGGATCGACTTCGACATCCATGTTTCCGTCCAAACAAAGCATCAAAACTTCTCCACCAACCTGAACCAGAGTTCACCCCTCAAGCTCCTACTCGCAAAAGAGCACACGAATGAAGATCCTGGATGGCCCCGAATCACCATAAAAATCAACCGCTGTAATGCAAACACCTTAAGGTGGGAGAAATGGAGGAAATCAAGTTTATTGGAGGAAAAAGAACAAACAAACGAACGCCGGAAAGAACTAGGCCAGCCGACCGCCATAGCCGAAGGCGGCGGCCGGCCGGCCCAAAGGGAGGCCTGGGAAGGAGGTTTTAGAGAGAGAGTATACACATTTTATCTTACATGTACTACGATTTAGTTTACATTTTAAGAGTCACTTATACATTTAGAGGAAACTGATTTGACGTAACAACAGATTTAGATGTACACTATCATTTAGCAACTTTAGTCACTCTTGATTGTCATTCTAATCATTTGCAATTCCAAAAAGTCTTAAAGATGTTGTCATGTAGCTAAACTATTCCAATTGAACCAATAGTAACAGTGAAACCATGGCAGTCTAGAAGCCACTTCCAATACTTCTTAAAATTGAAATCTCATCAAGTAAAAAATACATCCCACATACTTCCCCAAAATTTCAGTTATTGTTAGTTTAAGGAAAGAAATGTGTCTAATTTTCATTTAAAATATCTTCTACTGAACCATTTTGAAGTATGTAGTAATTGAAATTTAGTATTTTTCTTCTTTTATTCATCCATTTCTCTTTACCCATAAGAAAAAAGAAAAGAAAAGAAAAAGATCATATAATTCCTAGAAAAGTATAGCTCCATTTACTATATACTTCAAATATATCCAAATACGAACATATATACAATTGAGATCTCCATTTACTATATACATTCCTCCCTCAATATAATTATCTGATATATATCAGTAACAAAGGCAAGCAGATAAAAAGGAAAAGAAATTCAAAAACCATTCGCTTGCAAACGATACGGTTGTTAAATGCATTTTCTTATTATCTACCTCGAAGTTTAGGAGAGTGAAATGGAGCCTTACCCACTGGAAATGGATGTGGTAGAGCTACTGACCCATTTGTTACTCACGAAATCCTGTGAAGATAGTGACTTTATTTTCTTCAACAACACAACATCATCTCTCTTAGGCGAAGAAGGTGATTGTGCACTTGTTAATGCCCCGACATTGTCAATTCTCCCTAGTGTTCTCATTTTTGTACTGCTTAATATCCTTTAAAGCTTCCAAAACCTCATCCATTGTAGGCCTCATTTCCTTTTCAAGTTGCAAGCATCTAAAAGCCCCTCTGCCACCCATGTAATCATCCTTTCAATTGAAGAATCTGACTTAAACCCAAGTGTTGGATCAACTAACTCATCTAGGGTACTATTTTGGATTCTGTTTATCGCTAAGATAGACAAATTAATATCTTGCTTATGCCTAGTAATGTCAACGGCTGGCATTGATGATATGAGCTCTACGAGCACAACCCCAAAGCTATAGACATCACTCTTATCAGTGAGTTGGTAGCATTGGTGGTACTCTGGATCAACATAACCGGGAGTACCTTGGGGGCCCGTTGAGACATGAGTGACATCATTGGGGAAGAGTTTTGAAAGCCCAAAATCAGCAACTTTGACGCAAAAATTATTGTCAAGGAGTATGTTGTTGGTCTTGATATCGCGATGGATGATATCAGAAGCATGGAGGTAAGCCAATGCACTGGCGGTTTCTATGGCTATGTTCATACGAATAGGCCATGTGAGTGAACCAACATTTGCTCGATCACCACGTAGATGATCAGCAACAGTACCATTGGGAATATACTCGTAGACAAGGAGCAGTTCCTGGCTCAGGTGTGAGGTGCAACCATAAAGGGTGACAAGATTGGGGTGCCTCAAGGAGGTTAGTATCTGGATTTCATTCATGAACTGCCTCACCCGCTTGTAGTTGTGCTCGTACAGGCGCTTCACTGCAACTTCCCGCCCATCCTGGAGTTTTCTTGGTTAAGAAAAGACCAAAGATTATGCCATTTCATATGTATGAATTATAGGAAAATTTAATGTCACCATAAATATGTTAATGGTAAAAACATTTTTGTTGTGTTTAGATTTTGAATTTGTATAAATAAAGAAAAAAAAAAAGAAGAGAAATGTGAAATGTATGAATAGAGAATATGCCACTATAAATATGTTAATAGTAAAACATTTATGCAAACATTTATGTTAATGGTAAACACATCTCTTTTTTCTTTTCTTCTATTTCCGCAAATTCAAGATCCAAACAAAGTCTTAACATTCTAATTGATATTTAGAACTTCGAACCATCTTACCATGGTATATAGTGCCAAAACCTCCATCTCCCAATTCTTTAGTAGGATCAAAGTTATGCGTGGCTTTTTCAAGTTCAGCGTAGGAGAAGACAGAGACCCCAAAGTAGACACTACCTCCTTCAGCACCTGCTTGCAAGGAGTGATTAGAAAAATTTTCCCTTGAAGAGATGTATGAAGAATTATAATTCCATTCCTTGTGAAGTCGGGTAATAACTATGAGCAAGCAAAGCAAAACTATACCGCCTCCCGGTAATACTGAAGAAAATAAAAGTGTAGTTTGTTTTGATTCACTCATACATATTCATGAATGCAAAAAAAAAAAAAAAAGGATTGACTGAAGACGGTGTAATGAATTTTTAAATGAGAGAACAGGTAAGTAATGAAGATTGCACAGGAAAAGAAAGAAGAAAGGAAAAAAAATAACATTTGATGTATTTTTACAATATAGATGCATCTAAATTTAGTCATTTATTCATGCTTATAGATACTGCTTAGAGGTATATTACCTATTGCTAGAATCAATATCAGGTGATTTGTTCCTGTAAATAATGCCAAAGAGAAAAACATCAGGCAATTTGTTAAGACGAAATCAAAAATTGGGAAGTAATAAACAGAACAAGCACATGAGCATACAAAAGATTTATGCGGTACTATTAGTCTACATCCATAGGCAAAGAACATGAAAGCGTTTTACTATGAAAATGGAGAACATAATGAGTTGGCTCTCTCTAAAATCCCCCACTGCACAGAAGCTCTCAAGATCACAAACCCTAGAACTCCAAAATAATCCCTTACATACAAAGATCCGCATAATACCAAACAGGGTCAATATAGACACAAATGCAAAATGAGGGGGATCGAAATGGGAAGGTTTCAAATGAAGAAAGAGAAATTGAAGAAGATGGAGTAATTAAAATGGGCTAGATATTCGTCAATCTTAACATCTTAAAGGGGTTCCACAGACCCTTTCAAATGAAACATTCATTGTTCCATTGACAAACCCATCTTCAAGAGGTGATAACAAAAAGAAGCTCCTTGAGAGAATCCGTTAAGCTTGCTAGAGAAAATACTAATTTGTCTACCAAGTCTAAGAAATCTAGTCGTATGCCTTCTATGAAATAATTAGAAGGCGTTGCCCTCTAACTTTGCATGTTGTTTGTTTCTTTGGCCTAGCTCTCAAGCAGTGAGAGTTTTTTTCAGTGCTAGGTTTTGAATGCTCTGTTTTAATGGCTTGCTCAGACATCTTTCTTGTCCCCGATATGGGTGTATCAAGCATATTTTTTGTTACATCTAACCCACTTACCTACCCCTAAAAAAAAAGATATCTAGCAAGTAATAAGCATAATCCAAGTTGAATTTGGCACATACAACAATTCATAGTAATTTACTAAGCATATTTTGTGTTAGGTTTTTATTATTGGCAATCCCGTTTGATAAAACTCTTTCAGTTGTACTTGTTTTCGCACTTTTATTTTAGTGAGGCCATGAGTGTTTAGATGCGAATCCAACCCGAATTGTGCCTTTGCAGGGAAGTTTTGTGATATTAATTCTTTCAAGATTGCCACTTCGCTGATTATGACGGGGATCGAGCTGCCCGGTCAGCTCGCGGGGGCAGCGCCCCTTGGCAAGTCTGGGGCAGCGCCACGGTGGGGTCGAGGGGCAGCGCCCCTGAAGCAAAATGAAAAATTGCATTCAAAGTTGCCTGTCCGCCCTTGCTCGCTCGAGCGAAGGAGTTCTCGCTCGAGCGAAGGCTGCGTCTGGCAAAAAACCTGAGAAGGATGAATGTTTGCTAGAGCAAAGGTTATGTGGCTCGAGCGAAGCCACTTATGGAAAACACGTGTTTTTGATTCCTCGCTTGAGCGAGAGAAGCTTCACTCGAGTGAGCCTCGAAGTTCTAGATTTCTATAAGTACAGGTTTCTGTCAGAACTTAAGATTACTTCTTCAGATCTTCTTTTTGGATATTAAGGTTTATATCTGGGGATAGTTTGCTGGTTTTCTTTGATGTTTAATTGAGTATTCAACTCATGGGTTAAAAAGAATACATCAAAGGTTTGTTTGTTCATTCTATACAAAAGAGAGAGTTATTCTTCTGTGGATTCTGAAGAATTTGAGCCTGAAGCTTTGGTGGATTCTGGAGTAGGTCATCGTCAAGACAATTCCGAGGTAAAGACGGGGTTGGTTCAATTCGGGCGTGGATTCGCTAGGTAATTGAGAGTATACCTGTGTAATTCCTTTATGTCTTTTTAGTGAAATGTTTTGTGGCTTTTGTCTGTGGTTTTTTTATCACAATTGGAAGTGTCCAATTGTGGTTTTTCCACATAAAATCGTTGTATTGATTTGTCTTGATTGCTTGATTGGGATTGTTGTTTACTGCTTAAAATTGATACATAATCACAAATCAACATCTAGGGGATTTCTATATTTTTCATTCTGAAGGCTTGAGCTTATAACTACAAGAAAACAGTTAATTAATCAAAACCTGCCAAGGTAATGAACCAAAATCCATATGGAGTAGACTTCTACAGATAGAAGATTTTGGATTAAATCACAAATAACAGTATTCTTTATGTAGCAGAGAAATTCCAATACTGTGTTTTGCCTGCTCAATGCATTGGAACTTGGAGCTGTTGTATCGAGGACAATGGCCTCCTTTGAGGTGACACTCACCGCATTCCTTTGACACATTAAATCCGAGTGAGAACTTAGAATCCAATATAGAGAACAGATCTCTAACATTTCGCTTCCTTCTATCGTTCAATGAAAACACCGGCAGTTGAATAAGCACACAGCAGTTAAATAAGCACACGGCTTTGCAGAATTCTCTCATTAATAAGAAGAGATCGATGGGGAACGTCAGGGTATTTATAGTAAACTGTGTAGCCTGAGCAGCCTTTGTAATACCTGTAATTGTGATTATGGCTAAAGAATTTCTCAATCCGCTGGTCAAGTGAACTGCTGCTGGTGGGGCATTTGAAGAAGGTGAGATTGGGGGAGACTGTAAAAGAAAAGGAAGGTGTAGTGGGAAGAGTCCAGCTCAAGTAGAAAGTAAAAAGAACTTTTGGATGTTATGAGGCTTTCAAGATTTTTGTCAGTAACAATTAGGATATGATCATTGTTAAAATGTACCAAAACCTACCACTACACCTACTCCACCCACTTCACCTACTCCACCTACTACTCCACCTACTACATACCATCTTCTATATATAGGACTCATTGTAAACACAACATACATCAATCAATAATACATAATTCATTCTCTCTATTTCTCTATACATCAAATTTAACATGATATCAGAGCAGGTTTAGCACCTAGTATTTTTCGCTTCACCGGCGGGCGGCAACCTCACCTTAGCTGTCCGCCGGACCTCAACCTAGTCCGCTCGAATTTTCTACACATACCTTCTCATGCAAATACTCCAATCCCCTTGCAGCATCAAATTCCATCTTGGTCACCTCCACTCCACTCTTCATCCCCGATCTCGGCAGTTTGATTGAAAACAAAGATACACATCCCGCCACCTGCGCCGCCCGGATCTTCCAACTAACCCGAGAACTCCGCCACAAGTCCGACGGCGAGACCATCCGGTGGTTGCTGGAACACGCCGAGTCTTCCATCATCTCTGCCACCGGCACCGGCACTGTCCCCGCCATCGCCATGTCCGTCGGCGGACCCCTCCAGATCCCCACCACCTCCGCCGGAAGCACCCTCCAGATTCACACACACGATTTAGAGAGAGAGAGAGCAGACACCATCCTTTCAGGCCATGGAGCTTCTAATGATTTTGGGTGGGCAAGAAAAAGAGGAGAGCTCTCTTTATTTCGAGGGACACACATCTGCAACAACATGCTATCAGCAGAAGTTGTTGGAGCTCTTAGAGATGGGTTAAAGTTGAACTGTGTCCAACAAATTAAAACCAACATATTGGAATCTATATTGCTAGCATCTTTCACAATTGTCATAGTTCTCCTGATGCTTCCATGTGAATACATAGATGACAGTCCAGTTCCAACTGTCATATTCAAGGGACTACCCTCTACCTTCCACGCATTCGTAGTGTGCTTGATCTTCTCCTTTACTGGCTCGTTGAGCGCGTTGTTAATCCATGACACCTCATTTCTTGCCAAGCTCTGTGAGTACTCGTCCATGGCTTTCATGGCATCTGCTCTATCTTTGTTGCTTTGTGCCATGTTTCAGCAACGATGGATCTCCCAGGTGCTAATCGTCTCAACTTAAGAAAATGTTTGGTTCTGTAAGCTTAGATAATGTTGTGAACTTCTCTACCTCACTCACTTCTCACCCACGGCAGCAAGACACACAGACACACATGCACTAGCTCTCTCTCTTCTCTCTCGGGTTTGGGGTGTTGAAGAAAAAAAAAAAAAAAAAAAAAAAAAAAAAAACACAAAACACGTGGCTTAATTTTGTTCTCATCTGCAACCTCGATGATAAAGCAAAAAGACAACTACAACCGAGCTCTCTCTCTCTACTCAAGAACATCCACCTTTATTTTAATATTTCCAACCATTTATTTTAACCTTTTCTTCCACTAACCCACTGCTTTTATATTTTATTTTATTACATAACCATCATTTCTTTTCACTTTTTCTTCCCACCACTTTCAATCAACTAGTCTTGCTGTTTGAATTTTCCTTTTTTTTCTTTCTTTTGCCTTTTCTTATCATGACACCCACATGGCATGTCTCTCAACCTTTTGACAAGTTCTTTTTCTTTTTCTTCTTCTTATCCCCGTATTTATCATTTTCGTTTTTCATATATATACATATATATATATTTGGCAAATCAAAAAAAAAAAAAAAAAAACCCACACAAACAAAAACAAAACTACCACACCCACAGTGGGATTTTTCTTCTCTACTCAGCTGCCGGTCTTTTCTTCTTGCCTCCGTCCTGGGTGGTCCTTGCCGGTGTTGCCTCCGTGCTTCCTAGACCACCAAGCAAGTTGCCTCCTCCCTGCTCCTCCACTACAGCATACGGTGGACCTCCAAATCGGAACATCACGGTGGCCTTCCGCTTCAGCTCCTTATTTTCCGCCTTTAGCACACTTATCTCTGCTCGCGCATCCTTATACATGCGTTGGAGCAGAGCCAGTTGGGCGTTTAACTGCTGCACCTCATTTGTCCTACTCTGAAGCCGGTGCGACAAGTTTGTGACTACCGTCATCGTCTCCACACATGACTTCAATGTATACTGATTGGCCTCAATATCTGATTGTGCTGCCATTCTTTGCTCCACAGACCGCATAGGAAAGGTCAACGGAGCAAACTCAGGGGCGCTTGGTTGCGGTTCACGGGCAACCGCACCAGTTATCTCTCTTGTGGACTCGTTGAGGTCTGGAAAGAGAGTGAGTAGACCACGGGAAGAAGAGGCCATTTTCTGGGAAACAGAGTGTTACAGAGTATCTCTCTCAGAAAACGAAGAGTTTTTCAGAGGTTTTTAGCAGGTTTTTGTCTCAGCCTCAGCCTCAGCCTCAGCCTCCGTCTTGGTTAAATAGCCAAGGCAGACACGCGCATCATGCGCCGCTCGACGCTCGACGACAACATGGGCGCGCCTTTTGATGGCACGCCTTTTTATAGATTGGGCACGCCTTTTGATGGCACGCCTTTTGAAAGATTGGACACACCTTTTGAGGGTGTGCTTTTCCAACGGTCCGACATGACCCCCTAAACTGTCCCGACATTGATTCCGGTTAGCATCTCCCTCGGTCCGGTGTGACCTCGTCAACTGTAGTTTCTACAAGGGTCCAGCAAGACTCCGTAATCTGTCACAACAACTGTCACAACAACTGTCACAACATTGTCTGCTACAACGGTCCGACATGACCCCATAAACTGTCATCTACATTGGTCTGCCATAACCATACAGTCTTCTACAACGGTCTGACACGACCATACAGTGTCTCCTATCCTCTTTTATTTTATGTATTCGTCTATTTTCTTGTTTTGTTACTCTCTCCAAACTCAAGTTGGTTAGTTCCTATCCCCCTTGAGTTTGCGGGGGGCTGTTAAAATGTACCAAAACCTACCACTACACCTACTCCACCCACTTCACCTACTCCACCTACTACTCCACCTACTACATACCATCTTCTATATATAGGACTCATTATAAACACAACATACATCAATCAATAATACATAATTCATTCTCTCTATTTCTCTATACATCAAATTTAACAATCATCATCATTAGAAAGCTTGCCATGAAGTTCATACCAAATTTGATCAGTAACACCGAAATTGAGTTTTGGAACTTTTCCCTTGCAATCTACGGTGCATAACCCACAATGGGGATAACTGGTGTTGGAGTAAGGGAAGCTGATTTCCCCAAGATTTCCACAGTGGAAGGACTCTGGACAGTGTTGGAATGAGTTGTTGTCTTCTCCAAAAGAGTGAAGAAACAGTAGGTGAGAGAGGACAAAGAAAGCCAAAATGGAGGGGGGAACAACCATTGTAGATTAACAATTTAGCAGTAAATAAAAAATAAATAAATAAACCCATCAAGACTCTTTGCATAATGTTCGTTAGCATCTAGTCTAGTACCATAGAATTTTCCAGATGCTGATCATGTTGGTTTGGCTTCTTGACACGGCAATTGACTTGGAAATACTGTTAAAGGAGAGAGGACTGGCACAGAGAGAGAGAGAGAGAGAGAAGAATGGGGTGAAAGTAGAGACAAATGGCTTGCTCAAATAAATGTTAAAACATACTAAAGGACGTCTCGTTAGCTCAGCTCATTAGTTGAGTTGGTTTAATATTTATTTAAATAATAATATAAATATATTATTTATGTATTAAATAATGTAAAAATATGTATAAAAAATAGGATAAATATGCTATTTATATATTTAAATAATATAAATGTAAATAATAGCTAAATTTATTTATATGTAAATAATAACTAACTATGGATAATACATTTATATAATAGTGTGGTAGATATTATTATTTTGGTAAGCTATTGACTTTTTTCTAGTATGTTTATAGATATTATATATATAATTATATAATCAAAGTATCAATTGTAATTTTAGTCTCATACGTAAGTATAAATTTATAATTTCTTTGGCTAGATATGGCACGTGAATAGTTTGAGCTCCGTTTGTTAAATTTTTATTGAGTCGAACTTAAACTCGTTAAAATCTTAATAAATAAGCTCAAATATACTAACGTTCGGCTTGACTCGACTTATTTATAGCCCTATTCTACATATACTCTACAACGCATCAATCTCTACCGCACACAAATTTTAGGCACATCCCAAGCTTAATATTTTGTATAAGTTGGAATCTACCTACATAAATGTGTGAAGCTGTTGGTGACAATGAAAACTTGGACCTTTTTCTACTCCCTTTGAATATTCTATTTGTGTGATGCCGTTGGTGACAACGAAAACTTGAACCTTTTTCTACTCCCTTTGAATATTCTACCTTGAAGGTTAGTTGTGTATGATAAAATTAAAAATTAAATGCTGAACTAATTGAATTGAAAAATTATTTGATAAAAATTAATGTTGAAATTAAAATAAGATGAAATTTGAAATTTATTAGTATTTTTAAATTTGTTCTTTCAATATGAATATATTCACTATAACAATTTACACTTTTGGCGATCAAATTTGGCAACTAAAGGAAATTTAGTAGCCAAAAGTAGTAGAATAGGCAACTAAAAATTAAATTAATTGGCGTTGAAAATGGTTTTAGCTACTAAATTTTTTTAATAACCATATATTAATTATTGACAACTAAAACAAAATTTAGTCGCTAAATATGTCACAATAGGCGACCAAAAATTGTTTTAGTCGGCATTAGTTCATATTTTAGGCTACTAAAGTTTGTTTTTAGTCACAGTATACCTATTTTTGCCTGCTAAAATAAATTTAGCTGCCAAAAAGCTAGCATAATGTTTATTATTAATCTTTGTCGACCAAAACTTTGGTCACCAAATAATCATTTTCGGTGAGCAAAAAATTTTTAGTCACTGTAAAGTAATTTTTGTCTACTAAAATAATTTAATCGCTAAATAAATTTTAAATTTTATTTTTATCTTTGGTGACCAAAAATTTAGTCGCGAATATTTATTTTTGGCGACTAAAGTCCTGTTTGGCAAAATACCTTTAGTTTAGATTAGTCGGCCATGATGGAAATTTTTTTGGTGGAAAGCTTTTCAAAATTTGGAGGCAATTCATTTATTTTATTACTTTTTTTTCATATTTGTTTTTATCAGCCTGTATCCCAAACAAAAACAAGACTCTTGCTCTCCATCACTATCACCATCGTTCACCGTACGTTGATCTTCCACCATCGCTCACCGTTGATCTTCCACCGCCGCACATCGCTACCGCCACTGCCGCTCGCTCGCCTCGCCTCGCCTCGCATCACTTCAACATTGAGGTTTTTCTCGTCCTCTCTCTATTTTTCTTACTCTCTCTATCTCTCTCCCTCTCGGGCTCTGTTTTTCTGTCTCCCTTTCTCTATTTCCCCATTTCACTCTTCCTCTAGGGTTTGCTTTTTTATGGTGTAGAGTTTTGATTAATGTGAAATCAATGAACCAATGATTGAAATGGGTTTCTATAAAATGGTTGAAGGAACATGTAATTTATTGGGGTTTTTTTAGCCAGAATCAAGATTTCCCCATTTCACTCTTGTTCCAGATTCAAGATTTAGCTAGATAATTGAAGAACAGCCCCAACCAGCATGTTTTGATAATCTTTTATGGGTTTTTTTTTTTTCTTTCTTCTAGATAATACACAGTTATTCTTCTTACCAATCCAGATTACTAAGCAATAATTCAATATTTATTTGTAGTATTTGGAAGTTTTGTAATTTTTTGGGGTTTTTTTTTAGCCAGAATCCAGATTACCAGTGTTGCCAAGATCGGTCTCGTGGCCTATTCTGAATTCTCTTGTTTCATCCCCAGATGACAGCTTGGAGTGGAAAGGGGCTTGCTTCTACAAGAACCGGGCTTGGATGGAGTTCCACAACAAAAGCCGCATTGAATTTGGTGGAGGCACTCTTCATGTCAAGGTCAATACCCTTTTGGGTTTTTTGTGCCGTTTAGTTTATTTAGTGCTGATTTAGTTTCGATTTTGTCAAAATTTTGAGGATTGGGTATGTAGGTATGTGCCATTTTTACTTATTGAATTGTTGATTACCGGCTTATCTACAAGGTTAATTAAGCTGTTAGAGAGTGTAGACACAAATTTTAAAACATGAAGTGTTTCAACACATTTCAAAATTTTATGTTACAAATGTCCACTGTTTAGTTTTTGGACTAAACAGTGTTGATTATTTGAATAGCAGGTTCCTATTTCCGATCTGTATTCCAAATCGTTAATTACACATTTTATATAAATGAAATCTCCGATTAATGAAGAACAAAATAAATAACAGAAGACAATTTTAAAAAAATAAATATTTTATTGAAATTGTTATGGATTTTGAACCCTCGAATACAAAGTACAATTTTTGAGTTTGGAACCCTTTACTTATACATCGCCATTCTGCATTTGCAGCGTAGATTCTTGAGTTCTCTAGGCTTTTCTTTTTCTTTCTTGTAACGACTTCTTTAGCTCTTGATTTCTCTCTCTCTCTCTCTCTCTGATATTCTCACTTCTGATTTTCTGATCCCCGATCTTGTGTGATGGTCCTCATATTTATAGAGGGCCGCCCAGGTGATAAGAATGCCTCATCCTCAATTTAAATTTCAAATTGAACGATAGCGCCATTTGAATTTTGAATGATAGCGCTATATGATTAATTGTATATCTGATTAATCGAATTGATCTTTGGGGTTTCATCCTATGTGGTGTCCTTGCTGTAGGCTCTACAGGTGTCGTCTTTCGTAGGCTCCACGTGTCACTTGAGCATCTTGAATAACATCGTTGAGATAGAACGTTGTTTTATTTATGTACTTCAACGGATCATATTGATCCTTTTTAGGAAGTGATTGCCTACAACATTCCTATCATAGGCTCTATGTGTGTCATTGACTGTATTTAAATTTTAAACATAAATTTGGTTGAAATTTATGTGCCAACAAACAGATATAATTTTTATTATTTATATTATAACCTAGACATGTCCTTTCATGTGTGGCCGAATTCTACTTTGTAAGCGTGCTAAGTCCATACAATTATTTTCATTATTGAATGGGTGGTGAAATTCGAACACATAATCTATTAGTAGTAACTCTAATACCATATTCACTCTCGTAGCATATTGAATTATTGACCATCAACTCAGCTAAAAGCTTAAGCTAGTAGAGAGGGGCAATTTTATTATTTTATATTATATCATCCATTATTGAGCTTTCTGCTTGAATTGAAGTTTTTGGGTATCTACGTATTGATGTTGTTCAGAGTTAATGCCTCAGTTTGAATTTTAGATTGTTCAGGGACTTGTGATTGAATATGGAGTTGTTTTTTTAATGCCTCAGCAACCACCTTTTCGTTGATCTCAACTTCTTTTGTTCCCTCACCTATTTGGACCATGTTAACTGGTCCAGCTGCAAGGTGATTATCATCATCAGTCACTTCTCCATCTTCCTGGAGCTGCATTCTTCTCCCATTTCTTAGGTACCGAGAGTCACACCTATAAAAGCATTGGGATTCTGCAAAACCGTTCTTCATGGCCTCCCAACTACGCACCACGACCCCTTTGATGGAGCAATACCAGTCAAAGGCAATCCCCTCCAAAGAAAGGGGGAATTGTTTTAGGCAAAGTGCTTGATTCTGAGCCGTTTCCCCACACTGTTTCAAAAAACGCCTAATATGTTTTTGAGGATCTCCATACCCTTCATATAGGGCAAAATTCGGAAGTTTGTATCCTTCAGGAAATGGTGTTTGCTCTACCTACAAAGGGAACAAATCCCTTGGGCGATAAGTGCCCATCTCTCGAAGATCAAGGGCAGTTTCAATCTTCTCCTCAATTGTGCCTTCTATGAAATCATATGTTTGAGAAGATGTACCCTCATCCTCCAAATGTTCTGACATCTCGATTTCTATTGGCCATGGTTTATAAAATGTCCTATAGAATCGATCAACCATGGTGTCCCAATCTGGGATTGAATTAGGTGGCAGGCTGAAGGACCAATTTGCTGCCCACCCTTCCAAAGAAAGAACGAACTGCCGTAGAAGTAATGCCTGGCTTTTTACTGTGTTTCCACATTGTGCAAGGAAACGAACCAAATGGCGCCTTGGACAACTTGTCCCATTATATAAAGGAAAATAAGGTACTGCATATCTTCATGGGAACTGAACCCATTCGACCCGAATAGGGAAAGGGTGTCCAGAAATTTGATTTCTTTCAATAATCAAATTTTGATGGGCTTCAAAACCCTCATCTTTCAAAGAGACTGTTACTTTTGCCTGATGTTCCGCTTCCCTTCTAACTTCAATTTTTGCTTTCTCATCATCACCTGGATTGCGAGTGATATGTATTTCTCGCTCTTCAAAATTTACATCCACAGTGATGACATTACAAGGAAAGTCAAAGTGGTCACTTGATACACTTTCTCCATCGTATGTCTTGGCTGGGGATGTGTATGGTGAACCATCAAGAGAAAAGTCAAGTTCCTAATCTTCATTAGGATCCTCAACTTGAGATGACTTTGCTTGTTTATTTGAATGCTTCCGTATTTCATCATATGATTTACACCTTCCATTCACCTCATCATCCTTGAAGTGTAGTCGTCTTTTCGCCTTTTTCACAAGCTCAGAGTTGGACCTACACCTAGTGTCTCCTTGTTCTGTTGCCTTTACATATTCTGGAGTGCTTTGATAGTACATTGGTGGTACTGGCAAATACTCTGGAGAAAAGGTTTCTGGTATGTATTCTGGAGAAGCTGGTGTATACTCTGGTGAGGCTGGTGTGTATTCTAGAGAAGTTGGTGTATACTCTGGTGAGTTAGGTATGCAGATAGGAGATGTAATGCAATCTCCTTCATTAACTTTTGAACCAACTTCACCCTCATCTTTCTCGCCATCACTCAAAACAATGATGGTTAGGCAAGGGGCCAAAGTAAGCTTTTCCTCTCTCCTTTTATCAAAGTATGTCTGTAACTCCACAGATTGAAATTTTGAAGGTAGAAATTCCTCCAATGTGACTGGGACAAGGAGACATTGCTCTAACTGCTCATCAGGGACCAATTTCTCTCATTTTTCCTTCTTTGGGTTCTTCTTTCCTTTTCTCTTACTTATTTTGGCTTTTTTCTGTTTCCTGAAAACTTTTGGTTTTTGCTTTTTGAAAACTTTTGGCCCTTGTGTTGTTGAAGCAACCACATTTCTAGCTTTCACCGTGGCATTTTGTTTTTTCTTCATGCTTTTTGACTGATAAACAACCCATTCACCTTCATTATCATTGTCGATAGTGATTGGGTTAGAAGATGCTTTCTCTTGAGGAGGGAGCTCGATAATCTGAGAGTCCAAAAGTTCCTGAATTTTATCTTTCAGAACAAAGCACTCTTTTATCGAATGACTAATCAAACGATGGTAGGGGCAATACTTTGGATCGTTGGTCTTTCCTACCTCATGTGGTCTTTTCACCTCAGGGAGAGCAATCAACTTTTGCTCCAATAGATCTTCAAATAGGTCTTCGACCAGATCATCCGTGAAAGAATATTTCTTCTCCAACCTCTCTTTCATAGTCACCTTTTTAAATTCCTTGGGCTTTTTAGCCCCTACTACAACGGGACCCTTCTTTTTGGTTTTAATTATAGCTGTAGTTGAGGACTCAACCCTTTCAACAGTCCTAGGCCTTCTTCGTTTAGCTAGATGCAACTCCATATCATGAGCTTTAGTGCATAGATCGTTGAATCCTTCAAAAGTTTGAGCCATAAGAGCCGTAGAGAGCTCATGTCGGAAGTTGTTAAGGCACATCCGAATTAACTCTAATTGCGTAAACTTTTGAGGACAGACAAATGTCAAAGCTTGCCATCTTGCAATGAAATCTGTAACAGACTCATTGTCACGTTGCTTGGTCTCAATCAGTTCTGGTACTCCAACTCGCCTTTGTGTGTTGCAGAACTGCTTAAGGAACTCCTTCACCATGGAATCCCAATTTGGGATTGATCCCTCGGGAAGATTAGCATACCAAGTAAATGCAAAACTTTCAAGTGATTGGACAAATAGCTGCAAGCACAAGGCCTCATTCTGGGCTATTGGTCCGCATCTTGAAAGAAAATGAGCCACATGTTGTCTTGGATCTCTTGTTCCATCAAATATTTTGAAATCTGGTTGGGAAAAACCAGAAGGGAATGGAACAGCATCTACCCATGCCGGGTAAGGTTTTGTAATTGTTCGAAAGTTCTCATCATCTTTTTCTTTGACTTTTTTTACTTGTCTCCTGACCATATCATCAATCATGGCCATGAGCATTGGATTCATACCACCACTGGTTAGATCAGAGTAACAAGGACCATTGCCCCCTGGGGCTAATGTGCTTTGTATGCCTACGGATGTCCCCACAACGGATTGTGTCATTTGTTTGGGTGCACTTCCTGTTCCTGTCATTTGGGCCTGCAACTGTTGCATTTGCTCCAACATAGCAGTCATTTCCCGATCTCTTCTCTCGAGTTCTTATAGGGCCACCACTTTTTCCTTGAGACCTTGGTCTTGTTGGACCTGCGAATTTTCACCTTCTTTCTCAACCTTAGTCATCATAACTGCGACTTTGTTGACATCTCTCAATTCATTGTTTCCAATATTCGTTGAAACAGACGAGATAGAATTATCTTGTTCGTACAGAGGATTATCAACCCCCACAACATTACTCATATTTGAAGCATTTGACTGCGATGCTTTGTTTTGAGCCTCACAAGTTATAGACCTTGTTACAGGCCCTTTTCTTATTCCCTCCATAGATAGTTCGATCAAGGCAGAAATATTTCCCAAGGGTTGCTTACCCTCCTCCACCTTTGACTTTCCAACAAAAACAGGACTTTCAATTTGTTTTTGGCATTCATCTTTCGAGAGAGCCTTTTCAATAGCTCTTATAACATTTGTCGCCACTGTTCTTAGTTCCAGTTTCTTTAAGGCTTTATTTCTTCTACGCCTTTGTCTTTTCAAAATTGGACCATTTGATGATATATCAAGTCGAGCCCCTAGGGGCATAGAAGGAACCGTTTGCGTTTTTGCAAATTCCTCATGAGTTTTCAAAACAGTCCCTACATTTTTAGAGCGGACCAATTGATGTTGATTCAAATCCCGTTGGGCCAACGGGTGTTCCTTATTCGATCCTTGTCGGGCCAATGGGTGTTCCTTTGGCTCCAGAGAGTTGACTGAAATTTGGTTTGACCGATTTTGTGCTCTGAACAGAATTGTTGGTTCGTAGGCCGCAACTGTTTTTTCAATAACATGGGCTTTTTTTTCCATTAACAGGAGTTTGGGTCATTACCCTCCTCCCAATGGCCCTAATGATGGCCATGTTTTCAGCAGAGGCCCTTTTCTGGGTAGACTCTGCCATTTTAATGAAGTCTTCTACCCTTGTGAGTAGTTGGGCCACAACATTTCTTGTTGTGCCCGTTGAAGCTGCAACAAAGGCCGTAGTTTCAACCTGATTAGCCTCTTTTGCCTGAATTAGAAAGCTCTTCGTTCGGGCTGTAGCCCTCACAGTTGCGTACTGTTTCGACGCTTTCACATAATCTTCAGTAATCTTTCTCAAACTTTCAACTTTCTGGAGAAGTGTGACTTTCTTTGTCACACTAGTTACCTTCGGGACAGCTAAAAGCTTTCGCTCCGGAGCCCCTTGGGTGATAGGGGAAAGAAGTGCATCTTTTCAGGATTTCGCTGGTTCTACCTTTGGGACAGCCAAGAGCATTCACTCTGGAGCCCCTTGGGTGATGGGTGATATCTCCAACCTTGGTGATTTCAAAACCACTGGAGTGTAGGTTTGTCTCTTGACAGTTGCTTCAGCATTCCTATAATAGAAGAATACGTCAGTAAGTTTCAATTATATATATATATTTTGTTCTTCAAAAGATGGGAGGAGAAATAAGTCCCACTGGGCGTGCCAGAATTTGTACACACAAATTTTAAAACATGAAGTGTTTCAACACATTTCAAAATTTTATATTACAAATGTCCACTGTTTAGTTTTTGGACTAAACAGTGTTGATTATTTGAATAGCAGGTTCCTATTTCCAATCTATATTCCAAATCGTTAATTACACATTTTATATAAATAAAACCTCCGATTAATGAAGAACAAAATAAATAACAGAAGACAATTTAAGAAAAATAAATATTTTATTGAAATTGTTATGGGTTTTGAACCCTCGACTACAAAGTACAATTTTTGAGTTTGGAACCTTTTACCTATTCATTGCCATTCTGCGTTTGTAGCATAGATTCTTGAGTTTTCTAGGCTTCTGTTCTTCTTTCTTGTAACGACTTCTTTTGCTCTTGATTTCTTTCTCTCTCTCTGATATTCTCACTTCTGATTTTTTGATCCCCGATCTTATGTGATGGTCCTCATATTTATAGAGGGCCATCCAGGTGATAAGAATGCCTCACCCTCAATTTGAATTTCAAATTGAACGATAGCGCCATTTGAATTTTGAATGATAGTGCTATATGATTAATCGTATATCTGATTAATCAGATTGATCTTTGGGGTTTCATCCTGTGTGGTGTCTTTGCTATAGGCTCTACAGGTGTCGTCTTTCGTAAACTCCACGTGTCACTTGAGCATCTTGAATAATGTCGTTGAGATAGGACGTCGTTTTATTTATGTACTTCAATGGATCATATTGATCCTTTTTAGGAAGTGATTGCCTACAACATTCCTATCATAGGCTCTATGTGTGTCATTGACTATATTTGAATTTTAAACATAAATTTGGTTGAAATTTATGTGCCAACAGACAGATATAATTTTTATTATTTATATTATAACCTAGACATGTCCTTTCATGTGTGGCCGAATTCTACTTTGTAAGCGGGCTAAGTCCGTACAATTAATTTCATTATTGACTAGGTGGTGAAATTCAAACACATAATCTATTAGTAGTAACTCTAATACCATATTCACTCTCGTAACATATTGAATTATTGACCATCAACTCAGCTAAAAGCTTAAGCTAGTAGAGAGGGGCAATTTTATTATTTTATATTATATCATCCATTATTGAGCTTTCTGCTTGATTTGAAGTTTTTGGGTATCTACGTATTGATGTTGTTCAGAGTTAATGCCTCAGTTTGAATTTTAGATTGTTTAGGGACTTGTGATTGAATATGGAGTTGTTTTTTAAAAAAAAAATATTTTTTTTTCAGTTAATCTTTTGGCAGTTTGGATTATTGGGTGTCTGGACAGATTTTTTTTGTTGTTGAATTTGCTGCGTGATTTCATTGTTGTGTGACTTTTTTGTTCATGACCCAATCAAGTTTTAGTGGTTAAAATGATACATCGCTGAGATTATTTACACTTTTGGAGTATTTGGTACCTGCTGATTGGTGTTATACTGCTTGCATCTCGTGCTTGGGCTTTTTTGTCTTTCTTTTGGTGGAATATCTAAAATGGGTTTCTCTGTATGTTTGTGGTGAGCAGAAACAAAATTGATTTGTGCTATATATTGGTTGGTTGTTTGAATTTTTCGGTTGATTGTGTTGAAATGTTGGGAAATTTGGTTTATGGGAGTCTCAATTTTCAGGCATGCTGAATTTGAGGTTTTTGTTGGCTTTCTTGGAATGACTCGTTAGAAGGTTTTGTTCTTGTTTAGATTTTGATTTTCTTCTTGACAATTCATGTTTTCCCTTAGACTTGTTTGCATGTTTGTTTCGTTATTCACGAATGGAAATTGGTTAGTATAAACATTTTCGAATCTGAGTCTTTCAGTTATTGCAAAGTGCGCCCCTTAAAGAATTAATCTTATTAAAACATTTGGCTCATTTGATAACACCATTAAGTGCTTAAATGTGGAAATTTTCAGTGGATCTTCTATTAAGTAGTTTTACAGAGCATGATAAATCACCATTTAAAAGTAAGAACCCATGTTAAAAAGGAATCCAAGTTTTATGTCATAGAGATGTAACTCAGCACATAATGCTTAACATGCTTACTCACCTCCAGGGTTTGCTTTTTTATGGTGTAGGGTTTTGATTTATGTGAAATCAATGAACCAATGATCGAAATGGGTTTCTATAAAATGATTGAAGGAACATGTAATTTATTGGGGTTTTTTTAGCCAGAATCAAGATTTCCCCATTTCACTCTTGTTCCAGATTCAAGATTTAGCTAGATAATTGAAGAACAGCCCCAACCAGCATGTTTTGATAATCTTTTATGGGTTTTTTTTTTTTCTTTCTTCTAGATAATACACAGTTATTCTTCTTACCAATCCAGATTACTAAGCAATAATTCAATATTTATTTGTAGTATTTGGAAGTTTTGTAATTTTTTGGGGTTTTTTTTTAGCCAGAATCCAGATTACCAGTGTTGCCAAGATCGGTCTCGTGGCCTATTCTGAATTCTCTTGTTTCATCCCCAGATGACAGCTTGGAGTGGAAAGGGGCTTGCTTCTACAAGAACCGGGCTTGGATGGAGTTCCACAACAAAAGCCGCATTGAATTTGGTGGAGGCACTCTTCATGTCAAGGTCAATACCCTTTTGGGTTTTTTGTGTCGTTTAGTTTATTTAGTGCTGATTTAGTTTCGATTTTGTCAAAATTTTGAGGATTGGGTATGTAGGTATGTGCCATTTTTACTTACTGAATTGTTGATTACCGGCTTATCTACAAGGTTAATTAAGCTGTTAGAGAGATAATTTTTATTATTTATATTATAACCTAGACATGTCCTTTCATGTGTGGCCGAATTCTACTTTGTAAGCGGGCTAAGTCCGTACAATTATTTTCATTATTGAATAGGTGGTGAATTCGAACACATAATCTATTAGTAGTAACTCTAATACCATATTCACTCTCGTCGCATATTGAATTATTGACCATCAACTTAGCTAAAAGCTTAAGCTAGTAGAGAGGGGCAATTTTATTATTTTATATTATATCATCCATTATTGAGCTTTCTGCTTGAATTGAAGTTTTTGGGTATCTACGTATTGATGTTGTTCAGAGTTAATGCCTCAGTTTGAATTTTAGATTGTTCAGGGACTTGTGATTGAACATGGAGTTGTTCTTTTTTTAAAAAAAAATATATATTTTTCAGTTAATCTTTTGGCAGTTTGGATTATTGGGTGTCTGGACAGATTTTTTTTGTTGTTGAATTTGCTGCGTGATTTCGATGTTGTTGTGACTTTTTTGTTCATGACCCAATCAAGTTTTAGTGGTTAAAATGATATATGGCTGAGATCATTTACACTTTTGGATTATACTGCTTGCATCTCGTGCTTGGGCTTTTTTTGTCTTTCTTTTGGTAGAATTTCTAAAATGGGTTTCTCTGTATGTTTGTGGTGAGCAGAAACAAAATTGATTTGGGCTATATATTGGTTAGTTGTTTGAATTTTTCGGTTGATTGTGTTGAGATGTTAGGAAATTTGGTTTATGGGAGTCTCAATTTTCAGGCATGCTGAATTTGAGGTTTTTGTGGCTTTCTTGGAATGACTAGTTAGAAGGTTTTGTTATTGTTTAGATTTCGATTTTCTTCTTGACAATTCATGCTTTCCCTTAGACTTGTTTGCATGTTTCTTTCATTATTCAGGAATGGAAATTGGTTAGTATAAACATTTTCGAATCTGAGTCTTTCAGTTATTGCAAAGTGCGCCCCTTAAAGAATTAATCTTATTAAAACATTTGGCTCATTTGATAACACCATTAAGTGCTTAAATGTGGAAATTTTCAGTGGATCTTCTATTAAGCTAGTTTAATAGAGCATGATAAATCACCATTTAAAAGTAAGAACCCATGTTAAAAGGAATCCAAGTTTTATGTCATAGAGATGTAACTCAGCACATAATGCTTAACATGCTTAGTGGTTTTACAATCTTAATAAAATTATATTTGAATTTCTATTGTTACTAATTATATTCTTATATATTTCGGCACTATTAATTTTTATGCTTGTGGTTTGCTCCATAACGGGTTAGTTCGATGGCAATGTTTAACTTATTGCCTTGTTGTATTACAACCATGGAGTTGAGATATGGAATTTGGAGGAGTTTTTAACTCAAATATATTGTCATTCATTACAATATGGATGTGTGACATAGATGTTAACCATAAAAAAGAAATATCACGTCTGATTTCAAATTTTAGGAATGGATAATTTCAGGATTTGCAATGGAATAGGCTATGTTATATAGTTTCTTCTAAATAAATGAATTACCTGTGTAATGCACTAAAGATTCACAACTGGTTTCATTTTAAATTTTTTTAAAAAATAAAAATAAATAAGAAATAAAAAAAATAAATTGAAAACTACTACTAGAAACTCATTTTACAAACTGTTTGCACAATTATTTTAAGGAAATTTTTTCTCAATTTTTCAGGGACAAGATATTTTGCCATGGAATGAATGGTTGTTCACTAAAGATGATAGCAGTGCACATATTGCTTTGCTTCCTTCGCATCCTGATCTCCAGGCCAAATTTAACGAGACTGCTGCTTGGGAATATGCACTAAGCATGTCCAGCCAGCCTTTTGGTTTTCATAACCTGATATTTAGCTGGATAGACACTATTGATGGGAACCATCCACCACTCTTGGATTCTTATGTGGTAATGCATTTATATGGCCTTTTATAATTTATTGTTTGGGGTGAGTTTGCAAAATAAGTGGATGCTATACTTTTTCCATTTTATTTTGCTTTTTTTTCTTTGACATCTCTCTGTGATTGAGTCATATGGTTTGGGATAATTTTATCTTTCAAGGAATTATGTTCCGACCACTACATCTTTGAAGTCCTTTGAAATTTTATCCTATGTTAAAATCCACCTACTCTCCACCTACTTCACCCACTTAAACCTACTCCACTAAACCTAACCCACTACACCACTACCACCTCACCTACTCCACTAAACCTAACCCACTACACCACTACCACCTCCACTTCACCTACTCCTTACCTACTACACACTCACCCTCTTCTATATATAGGAATCATGAATCATTGTAATAGATATCAATAATATCAATCAATAATAATAATACATCAATTACTTACATGGTATCAGAGCTAGGTTAAGAATCTAATAATTTCGCTTCACCGGCGGGCGGCAGTCTCGTCTTAGCCGCCCGCCGGACCTCTACCCATACCTTCACTCCACTGCCACAAATTATTCTTCTTGCTCTTGATCTTGTTGTTGCTGTGCTACAGTAGTTTCTAACAAATTCCATGGCAGACTTCACCTTCAAGATCAGAAATTCCATCTTGAACAACCCCAGGTCGGACCTCGCCGGCGAGACCGCCGCTGCTATGGCCGGCGAGACCTCTGTCTTGACAACTAGTACTTTTTCCGTCACCGACGATTTTCGCAGCGAACTCAGCGTTCCAGCGGATGATTGGCAGACCTCGAATGGCTTTCTCATTTCGTGGAAGATTCCTTCTCCGAATATTCTCTAGCCGGAAAATTACCTGACAAAACCACCGGAAACCGGTCCGAACCGCTGGAAATTGCAGTCCTGGCCAAGTCATGTTTCACGACTCCGGTTCAGACCAAGGCAAGAAGCAAGCGGCTAAGAACCGGTTCACGAGTTTGGTCACTGGGCTCTCCTTCGTTGACCGAGACGACGTCGTCTTCTTCATCGTCTTCGTCGACCTTGTGTGAACTTCTCTCTCTCTCCCCCCGAAACCTCCATTGACGACGGGAGGGAGACCCTCTCCTCTCATCTCCAGCAACACGCATATATATATATAGTGTATCTCAGCTCCGTTTTGATTCATTCCTTTTCTCCATACGATTACAGGTCATTTTATGATTTGCACCAGGATGTCTTCACTGACTGCAAGTACTATTGCTACCCCAGCAACTATATCATCAATGAGATCAGAGAGCCAGTGTAGGAGGCAGACCAAGCCAACCTGTTCTTTTCCATTGGAGCTTAGGCCACTTGGCCTGCAGTGTCAGCCCTTTGACAAAAGAAGACCCATTACACCCATTACACATGCTGTTCAAATGAGGTCCGCATGCACAAACTCTCTCTCTCTCTCTCTCGCTGGTTTTATGGTAATGATCAACACACAATGATCCCCTTTCTTTTCTTTTCTTTTCTTTATTCTCCACCCACACAACTCAACCCTCGACTCTCACTCACTTTTCTTTTTTTTTTTCACACCCATCCACCGCCCCAATTTTATTTTTTAATTGGTGCTCTATTTTTTATTCATTATTATATGTTCCTCATCACCATGCTTATCATTTCATCACCATCACCATATCTTTTTTTCTTATTCGATTCCCTTACTTTTCACACCAAAAAAAAAAAAAAAAAAAAACTCACCTACTCCACTAAACCTAACCCACTACACCACTACCATCTCACCTACTCCACTAAACCTAACCCACTACACCACTACCATCTCACCTACTCCACTAAACCTAACCCACTACACCACTACCATCTCACCTACTCCACTAAACCTAACCCACTACACCACTACCATCTCACCTACTCCACTAAACCTAACCCACTACACCACTACCATCTCACCTACTCCACTAAACCTAACCCACTACACCACTACCATCTCACCTACTCCACTAAACCTAACCCACTACACCACTACCATCTCACCTACTCCACTAAACCTAACCCACTACACCACTACCATCTCACCTACTCCACTAAACCTAACCCACTACACCACTACCATCTCACCTACTCCACTAAACCTAACCCACTACACCACTACCATCTCACCTACTCCACTAAACCTAACCCACTACACCACTACCATCTCACCTACTCCACTAAACCTAACCCACTACACCACTACCATCTCACCTACTCCACTAAACCTAACCCACTACACCACTACCATCTCACCTACTCCACTAAACCTAACCCACTACACCACTACCATCTCACCTACTCCACTAAACCTAACCCACTACACCACTACCATCTCACCTACTCCACTAAACCTAACCCACTACACCACTACCATCTCACCTACTCCACTAAACCTAACCCACTACACCACTACCATCTCACCTACTCCACTAAACCTAACCCACTACACCACTACCATCTCACCTACTCCACTAAACCTAACCCACTACACCACTACCATCTCACCTACTCCACTAAACCTAACCCACTACACCACTACCATCTCACCTACTCCACTAAACCTAACCCACTACACCACTACCATCTCACCTACTCCACTAAACCTAACCCACTACACCACTACCATCTCACCTACTCCACTAAACCTAACCCACTACACCACTACCATCTCACCTACTCCACTAAACCTAACCCACTACACCACTACCATCTCACCTACTCCACTAAACCTAACCCACTACACCACTACCATCTCACCTACTCCACTAAACCTAACCCACTACACCACTACCATCTCACCTACTCCACTAAACCTAACCCACTACACCACTACCATCTCACCTACTCCACTAAACCTAACCCACTACACCACTACCATCTCACCTACTCCACTAAACCTAACCCACTACACCACTACCATCTCACCTACTCCACTAAACCTAACCCACTACACCACTACCATCTCACCTACTCCACTAAACCTAACCCACTACACCACTACCATCTCACCTACTCCACTAAACCTAACCCACTACACCACTACCATCTCACCTACTCCACTAAACCTAACCCACTACACCACTACCACCTCCACTTCACCTACTCCTTACCTACTACACACTCACCCTCTTCTATATATAGGAATCATGAATCATTGTAATAGATATCAATAATATCAATCAATAATAATAATACATCAATTTCTTACATCCTAGGACCTATGACATTAATGATTATAAACAACATTCTTAGTTACTTTCTTGAACATGTAACATTGCACGTGTATTTATCAAAAAAAAAAAAAACACTATGCAAATGCCACTTGAGAGGTGTAGTATGTTGAAGCAACTAACTTCTCTACTGAGACTACTAATGATTAATACTCTTTATCATCCCCTCTCAAGCTAAGAGGTGAGGGTAACACCATTAGCTTGTCCTTTAGTTATAACTTTCTTGTTGACTTTTAAGAAAGGGGAAAGAAGGCACTAGGTTTTGGGAAAACATGTACTGGATGGCATATAGTTAGGGCTCTTATACTCTTATGTTAATCAATCATTTTAACACTAATTAGATATAGGACAAATGAAAGGGCGTTCGGAGGGTGAAAATACAAAAAAGCCCCTAAACCACTCTATAGATGTCATGGCAAGCTTTCTCGTGACAAATAGGGCCTATGGGGATAGACGACATGTAGTTGGCACACGTAGGTTGAGAGTTAGAGTAAAAAATGCATTATTCATAGTCAAAAAAGGACGTTCGGGGGACGAAAATACAAACAGCCCCGAACCACTATACGGATGTCACGGGCAGCTTCCTCGTGACAAATAGGACCTATGGGGACAGACGGGACATAATTAACATACATAAGTTGGGAATTAGAGTCAAAAAAACCTTAAAGTTAGTCGAAAAAGGGCATTCGGAGGGTGAAAATGAAAAACAGCCACAAACCACTCTATGGATGTCACGGGCAGCTTCCTTGTGACAAATAGGACTTGTGGGAATAGATGGCATGTAGTTAGCGCACGTAGGTTGGGAGTTAGAGTCGAAAACGCTTTAAACTTAATTGAAAAAAGGGAGTTCGGAGGGTAAAAATGCAAAACAACCCCCGAACCATTCTATGGATATCATGGGCAGCTTCCTTGTCACAAATAGGACCTGTGGGGATAGACAGCATGTAGTTAGCACATGCAAATTGGGAGTTAGAGTAAAAAACGCCTTATACTTAGTCGAAAAAGGGTATTAGGGGGGGCGAAAATGCAAAACAGTCCCTGAACCACTCTATGGATGTCCCGGGCAGCTTCCTTGTGACAAATAGGACCTGTCGGGACAGATGGCATGTAGTTAGCACACGTAGGTTGGGAGTTATAGTTAAAAACACCTTAAACTTAATCGAAAAGGGCATTCGGAGGGTGAAAATGCAAAACAGCTCCCAAACCACTCTATGGATGTCCCGGGCAGCTTCCTTGTGACAAATAGGACATGTGGGGACAGACAACATGTAGTTAGAACACGTAAGTTGGGAGTTAGAGTCGGAAACGCCTTATACTTAGTCGAAAAAGGGCATTTGGGGGGCGAAAATGCAAAACAACCCCCGTAATACTATACGAATGTCACGGGTAGCTTTCTCGTGACAAATAAGACCTGTGGGGACAGACGGGACATAATTAGCACACATAAGTTGGGAATTAGAGTAAAAAAAGTGTTAAAATCAATCGAAAAAGGGCGTTCGGAGGGCGAAAACGCCTTAAACTTCACATCTATAGTTGTAAAGATTGCCTTACATTTGTGCATTTTGGGTCCAGTACTATGGACATTTGTAATGGTTTAAGTGTTTTTTTGGATGTTCATACGAGTGAGTTTATCTGTGTTTTGGGATCTCAATGGTTGTAATTTTTATGGCATTTTGCATTCTTCAAGTCAAGTCCGATTTTATTCACTCATCATATACATAAACAAAACTCTAAATCTGGAATTAGTTGTTTCACTGTGTATTCACTGGTATTTAGTGATTTAGATCTTTTCAGTTAACACTTCAATCATGTCTGAGAGTATAATGGAAAAAGTACTAAAGAAGATGAACAGTTTAATTTACTCACCATGACCTCTAATGTTTTTGCCTCAGAGTATTAAGTTCTACATGCATTTTTGGTACTAATGGTGCAATTTGTTTTTTTTTTGGTAGATGGCTTTTGGCGTGGATATGTGGATATTCTATTTTTGTGTACAGAGGACAATTTATACTTTTGTATAATTAGCCTATTTTGTCGTCCTCTGCTTTTGTGTGGATTAGTGTTAATCGTACAGATCATTTTTGGCTTGGTATATAATTCTTTTGGTGTACTATATATAGATTACCGTTTGTTGTGGTACAGATTATCATAGTAATTTGTACCACGCCAAATGGCTATTTGGCATGGTAGTGAATATATTTTTTGTGTACGGAAAACGTGGTTTTCGTATGATTCTTTGTTTTGTATAGAATTATTATTGTAGGTTGGAATATACTTGGTTTATATGGAATTTGACATTAAAAGTTATTCATTTTTGGATGGATGTAGATTGTCGAATGATTGATAATATATGTATTTTTTTGTTTATATACATGGTACAAGTTGCACAGAATACATATAGGTTGTGGATAAATTAATTTAAAAAAAAAAAAACATGAAATGATGTTTTTGGCGACCAAACAATTGGTAGCTAAAAAAATTAAAATGCAAACAAATCTTTTGGTGACTAAAAACAAATCTTTAAGCGACTAACATTTTAGTAGCAAAAAAAAAAAAAAAAAAAAACAAACACAAAAACACAAAAAACAAAAAAAAAAAATAGACTTTATAGGCAACTAAAAATTTAGTGGCTAAAAAACAAAATTAGATTTTAGGCGAAAAACTTTTAGTAGTGAAAAAAGTATTGGCGACTAAAATATTTAGTGGCTAAAAAAATTAGATTTTAGGCGATTAAAAAATTTAGTAGCTAAAAAGAAATAAGATGAACCAAAAAAATATTTTGGTGACTAAAATTTTTACTAGCTAAATAATTCAAGTTTTTGGCGACAAAAAAATTTAGTCGTTGAAAATGCAATATTAAATTTATTTGAAAGCTTTTGGCGACTAAAAAATTAGTTGCCAATGGAGGACTTTCGGCGACTAAACCATTTTTAGTCACCAATTATCTTTCCCGACAATTATTCAACGACCAATCTGGTGACCAAACATTTTAGTCGGTAAAAGTTTTTGACTAAAGTGTGACTTTTGGCGACTAAATTTTAGTCGCCAAAAGTGTAATTCGTTGTAGTGATTGTGATGATGGGGAGGTGGAGGTGGAGGTGGCGTTGGCGACAATGACAATGATAGTGGTGGTTATGGTGCTAATGATGACGGTGACGGTAGTGGTGGTGTACGATGTAGACGGATAATGGTTGTGGTGATAGTGGAGAGGTGTAGTGGACGTTGTGATTCGTGGTGATTTGATGGTGGTGGTGGTGGTGTAGTAGTGATGGTGGTGATTGAAGCGACAATTATGGTAGCAATAAAGATGGTGATGCAAGTGGAGAGTTGTGGTAATGGTAGGGGTGACATCTGTTATGGTGAGGTCGCCTCTGATTATCATTCCCTTCGTGTTTTGGTTGGTGATTATTATTAGAAGAAGAGGTAAATGAAATGGCATTTTCAAGAAGGATAAGAGGGAGTGCAAGGGGAAGCTCTTATTGGATCCAACAAGGAGTGGTGTGTCTCTAGAAGTGTGGCCGGAGAGTTACATATTTCAAAGAAAAATACTATTAACTCACACTTAAAAATTCATAATTTATCCTGAATGGATTTGTGTTGTAGAGATTAAATTGATAAAATATGGGTTTATGAGTAAAATGAATTTAAACCATTGATTTCTTTTTATGAGTAAATTTTGAATTGATAAGGATGAATTTGTAGTGTTATGGTATTTCAAAGAATGGAATGCACTCCAATCATGGTCTTGACTTTCAAGATAGTGTTTGTCTGCCATCTTTTTGCTTAGGGAGTGTTTGGTTTGCCCCTGTTTTGATTTGATTTATCTAGTGTGTTATTTTATTTTTACTTCATTCCTGGCCATTGACTTTACATTTGATTGGTTTTGTTTCATGTTTCAACCTAGTTGAGATATGACTTTTAAGCAATGATGTTTTGTCTTGGACTTTTGTGTTTTCTTGATGTAACTTGTTTGTACATCTTGTACTGTTATTTTATATCAATGAATCTTTATTTTGGTTGATCCAAAAAAAAATGATGATAGTGCTTGTGGCGATAATAACTATAGTGTTGGAAGTGGTGGAGCCATGATGATAGTGATGGTGCTGGTGATAGTGGTGGTGATGGAGGTGAAGGAGATGTAGGGGCAGTAGTAGTGGTAATGGCAACGATAGTGAGATTATAATGGTTTGATACTTATGCATAAAGAGTTATAAATACAACTAATATTAAGTAAGAATATTAGTACTTGAGATGTTCTTAACTTTTAACTTACATTTCAATAGCCACTTTAGTTTTGAAATTAAGGAAATTGTAGTTATCAAATGGATCTAATTGGATTTGCACTTGATACATTTAGTTTCAGATATTATGTTATCAATCACTAATATGTATACTTATTAAGTGCTTGTTTCGAAAATTACCTTTTTGGCTTTTTTATAGGGTGAAAAAGTTAGTAATATGTGTGGAATGATTTTTTTAATTAAATATATATTTATAAGAGAAAAAAAGTGATTGTTTGATATGTGTAATATGACATTTTGCTAATAATTGAATTTGTTACCTTTTAAAACTTTTTTCTGACTTTTTTTAATTTTTAACCAAAAAATCTTTTGTCAAACAAGGCCTAAGCATTTGTAATTCCAAAATGTCTTAAAGATTTTCTCATGTAGCAAAACTATTCCAATTGAACCCATGGTAACAGTGAAACCATGGCAGTCTAGAAGCCACTTCCAATACTTCTCAACTGGAACTGCGTAATTTAGTTACACCGGCAGCAATTTCCGAAGAAATAAAGAAAAAGTTATCCCCTGTTTTAGACAATCATTTTATTTTTCTATGTTTTAATCTGATAAAGTGAAACAGGTTACCCAAAAAATGAAATCTCATCAAGTAAAAAATACATCCGACATACTTCCCCAAAATTTCAGTTATTTTTAGTTTAAGGAAAGAAATGTATCTAATTTTCATTTAAAATATCTTCTACTGAACCATTTTGAAGTATGTGGTATTTGAAATTTAGTATTTTTCTTCTTTTATTCATCCATTTCTCTTTACCCATAAGAAAAAAAGAAAAGAAAAGAAAAGAAAAAGATCATATAATTCCTAGGAAAGTGTAGCTCCATTTAGTATATACTTCAAATATATCCAAATATGAACATATATACAATTGAGATCTCCATTTACTATGTACATTCCTCCCTCAATATAATTCTCTGATATATATATATATATATATATATCAGTAACAAAGGCAAGCAGATGAAAAGGAAAGAAATTCAAAAACCATTCACTCGCAAACTATACGGTTGTTATATGCATTTTCTTATCATCTATCTTGAAGTTTAGGAGAGTGAAATGGAGCCTTACCCACTGGAAATGGATGTGGTAGAGCTACTAACCCATCTGCTGGTCACAGAATCCGGTGAAGATAGTGACTTTATTTTCTTCAACAACACAACATTGTCGCTGTGAGGCGAAGAAGGTGATTGTGCACTTGTCAATGCCCCTTGTCAATTCTCTCCCCGGTGTTCTCATTTTTGTACTGCTTAATATCCTTTAAAGCTCCCAAAACCTCATCCATTGTAGGCCTCATTTCCTTTTCAAGTTGCAAGCATCTAAAAGCCACCTCTGCTACTGATGTAATCATCCTTTCAATTGAAGAATCTAACTTAAACCCAAGTGTTGGGTCAACTAACTCATCCAGGGTACGATTTTGGATCCTGTTTATCGCCAAGTAAGCCAAATTAATCTCTTGCCTATGCCTAGTAATGTCAACGGCCGGCATTGATGATATGAGCTCAACGAGCACAACCCCAAAGCTGTAGACATCACTCTTATCAGTGAGTTGGTAGAATTGGCGGTACTCTGGATCAACATAACCGGGAGTCCCTTGGGGGGTCGTTGAGATATGAGTGACATCATTGGGGAAGAGTCTTGAAAGCCCAAAATCAGCAACTTTCACGCAAAAATTGTTGTCAAGGAGTATGTTGTTGGTCTTGATATCGCGGTGGATGATATCAGAAGCATGGAGGTAAGCCAATGCACTGGCGGTATCTATGGCTATGTTCATACGAATAGGCCATGTGAGTGAACCAACATTTGCTCGATCACCGTGTAGATGATCAGCAACAGTACCATTAGGAATATACTCGTAGACGAGTAGCAGTTCCCGGCTCAGATGTGAGGTGCAACCATAAAGGGTGACAAGATTGGGGTGGCTCAAGGAGGTTAGTATTTGGATTTCATTCATGCACTGTCTCACCCTCTTGTAGTTGTGCTTGTACAGGCGCTTCACTGCAACTTCCCGCCCATCCTGGAGTTTTCCTGGTTGAGAAAAGACCAAAGATTATGCCATTTTATATATATGAATTATAGGAAAATTGAATATGTCACCAAAAATATGATAATGGTAAAAACATTTTTGTTGTGTTTAGATTTTAAATTTGTATAAATAAAGGAAAAAAGAGAAATGTGAAATGTATGAATAGAGAATATGCCACTATAACTATGTTAACAGTAAAACATTTATGCAAACATTTATGTTAATGGTAAACACATCTCTTTTTTCTTTTCTTCTATTTCCACAAATTCAAGATCCAAACATAGTCTTAACATTCTAATTGATATTTAGAACTTCGAACCATCTTACCATGGTATACAGTGCCAAAACCTCCATCTCCCAATTCTTTAGTAGGATCAAGTTATGCGTGGCTTCTTCAAGTTCAGTGTAGGAGTAGACAAAGACCCCAAAGTAGACACTACCTCCTTCAGTGTCTGCTTGCAGGGAGCGATTAGAAATATTGTCCCTTGAAGAGATGTATGAAGATTTGTAATTCCATTCCTTGCGAAGCCGGGTAATACCTATGAGCAAGCAAAGCAGAAATACACCGCCTCCTGGTAATACTAAAGAAAATGAAGGTGTATTTAGTTTTGATTCACTCATTCATATTCATGAATGCAAAAAAAAAGATTGACTGAAGGCGGTGTAATGAATTTTTAAATGGGAGAACAGGTATGCAATGAAAATTGCACAGGAAAAGAAAAAAGAAGGGAAAAAAATAACATTTGATGTATTTTTGCAATATAGATGCATCTAAATTTATTCTTTTATTCATGCTTATAGATACTGCTTAGAAGTATATTACCTGTTGCTAGAATCAATAGCAGGTGATTTCTTCCTGTAAATAGTGCCAAGGAGAAAAACATCAGGCAATTTGTTAAGACAGAATCAAAAATTGAGAAGTAAAACAGAACAAGCACACAAGCATACAAAAGATTTATGCGGTACTTCTACAAGTTTACATCCATAGGCAAAGAACATGAAAGCGTTTTACTAGGAAAATAGAGAACATAATGAGTTGGCTCTCTCTAAAAATCCCCCACTGTACAGAAGCTCTCAAGATCACAAGTCCTGGAACTCCAAAATAATCCCTTACATACAAAGATCCGAATAATACCAAACATGGTCAATATAGACACAAATGCAAAATGAGGGTAATCCAAATGGGAAGGTTTCAAACAAAGAGAGAGAAATTGAAGAAGATGGGGTAATTAAAATGGGCTAGATCTTCGTCAATCTTAACATCTTAACCACAGACCCTTTTAAATGAAACATTCGTTGTTCTATGGACGAACCAATCTTCAAGAGGTGATAACAAAAAGAAGCTCCTTGAGAGAATCGGTTAAGCATGCTAGAGAAAATGCTAATTTGTCTACCAAGTCTAAGAAATCTAGTCGTATACCTTCTATGAAATAAATAGAAGGCGTTGTTCTCTAACTTTGCATGTTGTTTGTTTCTTTGGCCTAGCTCTCAAGCTGTGAGAGTTTTTTTTTGGTGCTAGGTTTTGAATGCTCTGTTTTAATGGCTTGCTTAGACATCTTTCTTGTCCTCGATAGGGGTGTATCAAGCATATGTTTTGGTACATCTAACCCACTTACCTACCCCCCCGAAAAAGATATCTTGCAAGTAATAAGCATAATCCAAGTTGAATTTGGCACATACAACAATTCATAGTAATTTACTAAGCATATTCTGAATGCTTGAGCTTATAACTACAGGAAAACAATTGATTAATCAAAACCTGCCAAGGTAATGAACCAAAATCCATATGGAGCAGACTTCTACAGATTGAAGATTTTGGATTAAATCACAAATAACAGTATGCTTTATGCAGCAGAGAAATTCCAATACCGTGGTTTTCCTGCTCAATGCATTGCAACTTGGAGCTGTTGTATCGAGGACAATGGCCTCCTTTGAGGTGATAGTCATCGCATTCCTTTGACACATTAAATCGGAGTGAGAAGTTAGAATCCAATACAGAGAACAGATCACTGACATTTCGCTTCCTGCTATCGTTCAATGAAAACACCGGCAGTTGAATAACTATACAGCTTTGCGGAAAACTCTCATTAATAGGAAGAGATTGATGAGGATGATCAGGGTATTTAAAGTAAACTGTGTAGCCTGTGTAAAATAAATTGATAGAGAGAGAATAAATTGTATGTATTATGATTGATATATTTATGTACATGGTTGGTCTCCTTTATATAGGAGATGTGGGTGGAGAGTAGGTGTAGTGAAGTAGGTGGAGTAGGTGGAGTTGTGTAGTGGAGTAGGTGAAGTAGGTGGAGTTGTGTAGTGGAGTAGGTGAAGTGGAGTAGTTTTAACAGCCCCCCGCAAACTCAAGGAGGAGAGACACAAATCAACTTGAGTTTGGAAAGAGTAACAAAATAAGAAAATAGACTGACAAATAAAATAAAAGAGGATAGTAGACACTGTATGGTGGTGTCAGACCGTTGGTGAAGACACTGTATGGTGGTGTCAAACCGTTGTAGGAGCTAACCGGAATCAATGTCGGGACAGTTTATGGGGTCATGTTAGACCGTTGTAAAAGCTAACCGGAATCAATGTCGGGACATTTTATGGGGTCATGCCGGACCGTTGGAGAAGCTAACCGGAATCAATGTCGGGACAGTTTATGGGGTCATGTCGGACCGTTGTAAAAGCTAACCGGAATCAATGTCGGGACAATTTATGGGGTCATGCCGGACCGTTGGAGAAGCTAACCGGAATCAATGTCGGGACAGTTTATGGGGTCATGCCGGACCGATGTAGATGCTAATCGGAATCAATGTCGGGACAGTTTACAGGGTCATGCCGGACCGATGTAGATGCTAACCGGAATCAATGTCGGGACAGTTTACGGGGTCATGCCGGACCGTTGTAGAAGACACTATATGAGTGTGAATATAGGCTGCCCAAAAGATATACATGTACATATATATATATCGAGCCCTCAAAAGTCGCGCCCACTTCATCAAAAGCCGTGCTCGACAGAAAGCGTCGAGCGGCGAGCCATCAAAAGTTGTGCCGGACACGCGGCGAGGCATGTGATCGACAGAGTGTCGTGTCGTCCGCGTCGTCATTGTCGATATAAACCAATGCGGAGGCTGTGTAAACCAAACCAGTCTGAAACCTCTGAACATTTTCATTCTGAAACACTCTGTAACCAACCCTTTCGGACATTACCAGTCGGAAATCGCTGCTTCTCTGAAACACTCAGCAACCCAAAACATGGCCTCTTCTTCCCGTTCAGCTACCCAGAACATGGCCTCTTCTTCCCGTGGTCTGCTCACCCTCTTTCCCGACCTCAACGAGTCCACAAGAGAGATAACCGGTGCGGTGGCCCTTGAACCTCAACCAAGCGCCTCTGGTTTTGCTCCGTTGAACTTTCCTATGCAGTCTGTGGAGCAAAAAATGGCAGTGCAATCGGATATTGAGGCCAATCAGTATACATTGAAGTCATGTGTGGAGACCATGACTGCGGTCATAAACTTGTCGCACCGGCTTCAGAGTAGGACAAATGAGGTGCAGCAGTTAAACGCCCAATTGGCTCTGCTCCAGCGCATGTATAAGGATGCGCGAGCAGAGATATGTGTGCTAAAAGCGGAAAACAAGGAGCTGAAGCGGAAGGCCACCGTTATGTTCCGATTTGGAGGTCCGCCATATGCTGCAGGGGAGGAGCAGGGGGTAGTGAACGGGCTCGGCGGCGTGGGAAACACGGAGGCAACACCGTCAAGGGCCGTCCAAGACGGAGGCAAGAAGAAGAGACCAGCGGCAGAGTAGAGAAGAAAAATCCCGCCTGTGGATGTGGTTGTTTTGTTTGTTTTGTTTTGTTTTGTTTTGTTTTGTTTTGTTTTTTTTTTTTTTGTTTTTTGGTGTAAAATTCTGATCTGGGTTGATCCCCGGCATGAAGAAATGATAAGTTTGTGGAATGTTTTTTTGGTGTTATTTTGTGTTGTTGTTTTGTTTAATAATAAAAATAAAATAAAATAAAAAATAGATAAACAAATATTTTTGGATGGGTTATTTGAGAAAGATCAGTGTGAGGTGGATGACGAAGGGAACATGGATGTTTCAAAATAAAGTTGGGGGTAGTGCCCCTGCAAAAGATATATTATTATAGAGTGGGTATTTGAAAGAGATTAAAAGTGGTTTGGAGAAAATAAAGAAAAATAAGTGATTTTGAAATCAAACGGAGGAGATTGGGGAAATAAGGAAAGTGGTTCACATGGTTTTGGTTTTTTTTTTTTTGGAATGAAAAAGGGAAGATAAAATAAAATAAATAAAGGTAAAGTGGGGGTAGTGGGAATGATGAGGAGTTTGCAGGAAGAATACAAAAGGAGCTCAGAGATACAGATAGTGATGGCAATGGAGGTCGAGATCATTTCTACAGAAGCTATCAAACCATCCTCTCCCACTCCCAATCATCTCAAAACCTTCAAAATTTCCTTATTAGATCAGCTCGTTGCCCATGTTTTTTCAAAACAAATCTACTTCTACCTCCCCTCATCTCCTGAATGTGCAGAGATCGAATCAAAATTGAAGCTCCTAAAGTCCTCTCTCTCTCAAATCTTATCTCTCTTCTACCCATTTGCAGGAAGCATCACAGCCAACTTCTCAGTCGATTGCAACGACGATAGAGCTATTTTCGTCGAAGCTCGAGCTCGTTGCCATTTATCACAAATTCTGAACCAACCTTCAGAGATATTTCTCAGGAAATTCCTTCCTCTAAATAATATCCAATCAAATGACGGAGATTCGAGTAGTCCTCTGCTTCTCATTCAATCAACCTTCTTCGAATGCGGCGGAGCAGCAATCGGGCTCTTGTTTCATCACAAAATGACCGCCGCCGCCGCCATGGCCACATTCATCACCGCCTGGGCCTCCGCTGCACGCGGCGAGTCGGTCAGTCCCCCGGAGCTACTGTCAGGGCCGACTCTCTTCCCCCCAAAAGATTTCTTGGCCAACGCGAACTTACCCACCTCTTCGTCGGAGAAGACTTCCGTAAAGCGGTTCGTATTTTCATCTTCCAGCATCGGAAATCTCAAATCTGAAGTCGCCGGAAAAACCATCCACCAACACCAACCACCGCCGCAGCCGACCCAAGTCGAAGCGGTGTCGGCGTTGATATGGAAATGCGCCACCAAGGCTTCTCGATCCAATTCCCAAACAAAGCCAACAGTCTTGCTCCAGAGCGTGAATTTGAGGACGAGATTCAACCCTCCGTTGCCGAAAAACTCGATGGGAAACATGGTCGGATACTATCCGGTGACAACATCGGATGACGAGATCGATACGGGTAAAGCGGACGAGGAGTGCCTCCGGTGCTGGTGGTGGCGGCCGATCCGGCTGATCAGGTGCTTGCACTTGTCCTTAATCTCCGGCGACCTGATCCGCATCGACGAGGCTCGTACCAGCCATGACCTCTCGTCCGGCGGAGGAGAGCCGTTGGCGCGGAAGCAGCAGGAGAGGCATAGGGTTTGCCTGAGCTTGTTTTTCAAGGAAGGAGAGGTAATCTGTTCGTCCTCCATGTGATAGAAAGAGAGAGAGAGAGGGGATGAGAGGTCCGGCGGGCGGCCAAGACGAGGCTGCCGCCCGCCGGTGAAGCGAAAATACTAGGTTCTCAACCTTGCTCTGATACCATGTAAAATAAATTGATAGAAAGAGAATAAATTGTATGTATTATGATTGATATATTTATGTACATGGTTGGTCTCCTTTATATAGGAGATGTGGGTGGAGAGTAGGTGTAGTGGAGTAGGTGGAGTAGGTGGAGTGGAGTAGGTGAAGTAGGTGGAGTTGTGTAGTGGAGTAGGTGAAGTGGAGTAGTTTTAACAGCCTGAGCAGCCATTGTAATAACTGTAATTATGATTACAGCTAGAGAATTTCTCAATCCGCTGGTCAAGTGAACGGTTGCCGGTGGGGCATTTGAACAAGGTGAGAATGGGGGAGACTGTAAAAGAAACAGAAGGTGTAGTGGGAAGAGCCCAGCTCAAGTAGAAATTGAAAACGTCGCAACTATTGGATTTTATGAGGCTTTCAAGATTTTTGTCAGTAACATTTAGGATATGATCATCATCATTAGAAAGCTTGCCATGAAGTTCATACCAAATATCCACACTGAAATTGAGTTTTGGAACTTTTTCCCTGCAATCTACAGTGCATAACCCACAATGGGGATGAGTGATGTTGGAGTAAGGGAAGTTGATCTGCCCAAGTTTTCCACACTGGAAGTACTGTGGACAGTTTTGGAATGAGGTGTTGTCTTCTCCAGCAGAGTGAAGAAACAGTACGTGAGAGAGGACAAAGAAAGCCAAAATGGAGGGAACAACCATTGCAGATTCACAATTTAGCACATAATAAAAAAACCTCATCAAGACTCTTTGTATAATGTTTGTTAAGCATCTAGTCTAGTACCATAGAATTTTCCAGATGTTGATCATGTTGGTTTGGCTTCTTGACACGGCAATTGACTTGGAAATACTGTTAAAGGAGAGAGGACTTGCAGAGAGAGAGAGAGAGAGAGAAAACGGGGTGAAAGTAGAGACAAGACAAGTGGCCTAATTGTTGTTGATTAGAATGGTCGGCCCGCCAAAGACTCCAATGAAGTTTCATACTCACCTTCTTCTTCACTGACTAAAGCAAGCACCAATAATGACATTCACCCATTGACTCTTTAGACTCTCCTTCCCCTGTCTTGTTGAATGAATATGTATGTATACCCATTGACTCATTCAAACTCCCTCACGCCTTTCTCCAAAAAAAAATTATTTCAAGGTGGGGAACCACTTATTTTGCGTAATAATACTACAAATACAACTACAAAAATTTTACTTAGAAAATTACTTAAGAATATAAATGACGATTTTGGATTTATTTTAGGACTATAAATGAATATAACCGTTCGTAAACAGACTCGAGTTCAATTCAAGATTCGTTAAATTTTTATTGTGTTTATGTCCGAGTTTGATCTCGTTAAAACCTTAATAAACAAGTCCAAACATACAAAAACTCAGCTCATTAGTTGAGGTCGTTTAACAATTATTTAAATAATAGGATAAATATATTATTCATGTATTAAATAATATAAAAATATGTATAAAAAATAGGATAAATATGTTATTTATATATTTAAATAATGTAGATGTAAAAAATAGCTAAATTTATTTATATGTAAATAATAACTAACTATAGATAATATATTTGTATAATAGTGGTGGTACACATTATTATTTTAGTAAGATATTGACTTTTTTTTTTAGTATGTTTGTATATATCGTATATATAATTGTATAATTAAAGTATCAATTGTAATTTTAGTCTCATACGTAAATACAAATTTATAATTTCTTTGGCTCGTTATGGCACGTGAATAGGCTCGAACTCAGGTCGTTAAATTTTTATTGAGTTCAAACTTAAACTCTAAAATATTAATAAATAAGCCCAAACATGCTAACATTCGGTTCAGCTTGACTCGTTTGTATAGGGTTCTACATATAGACTCCACAGCACATCATTCAGTCTATATCACACATAAATTTTAGGCACATCCCAAACTTATTATTTTGTATAAATTGGAAACTACCTACATAACTGTGTGATGCTGTTGGTGACAATGAAAACTTGAACCTTTTTCCACTCCCTTTGAATATTCTATCTTTTAGGCACATCCCAAACTTATTATTTTGTATAAATTGGAAACTACCTGCATAACTGTGTGATACTGTTGGTGACAATGAAAACTTGAACCTTTTTCCACTCCCTTTGAATATTCTATCTTTTAGGCACATCCCAAACTTATTATTTTGTATTGGAAACAACCTACATAAATGTGTGATGCTGTTGGTGACAATAAAAACTTGAACCTTTTTCCACTCCGTTTGAATATTCTATCTTGAAGGTTACTTGTGTTTGATAAAATTAAAAGTTAAATATTGAATTAATTGAATTGAAAAATTATTTGATAAAAATTAATGTTGAAATTAAAACAAGATGAAATTTGAAATTTATAAGTATTTTTAAATTTTCTCTTTCAATATGAATATATTGTGATCACTACAAGAAAATACACTTTTGGCGACTAAATTTTTAGTCGCCAAAGGTCCGATTTTAGTCGCCAAATCTCAAAATTTCACTTTTCCCGACAAAAAAGTTTAGTCGCCCGTGTTGTCGCCAATAAACGGTCGCGAATGCCTTTGGCGACTAAAACACTGTTAGTCGCTAATATATATGTCTTCAGCGACTAAATATTTCGTCGCCAATAGTCAATTTCTGTATTGGAAATTATACCTTTGCCGACTAAACTTTTAGTCGCCAATAGTTCATTTTTATTTTATTATTAATACCTTTGGCGACCATTCACTTTAGTCGCTGAAAGTATTTTCAGAAAAAAAAAAAATTTCGCCTCCGTTGCTCCCAACAGGTTTCGAACTTGCGACGTCCCTTTGCACACGCCAAACCCTTTGCACAACACTCCCTCCACTATGCCAGTACATCATCACATGATCATATATGCAATATATATTATTTATATACTATATTAACCGCAATTAATACAAAATAATATTTATAAATATAATTTTTTTAATTCAATATAATTTTTGTCAAAAAATAAATTATTTAATAAAAAAAAATTAGGCAACTTTTGGCGACTAAAACCATTTTTTAGTCGCTAATTGTATTATTTTGGGCTACTAATTATTTATTTGTCGCTAAAAAAACAAGTTCTCAATTAAAAATCAGCACTTTTGGCGACTAAACAGAAATTTCGTCGCCAAAACCACTACTTTCGGCGACTAAAATGGATTTTCGTCGGCAAAACCTCCACTTTCAGCGACTAAATTGCTTTTAGTCGGCAAAACTGCTATAATCAGCGACTAAACCTGTTTTTAGTCGCCAAAACCCTACCTTTTCGCTACTAAATTATTTTAGTCGCTAAAAACCGTGACTTTTGGCTACTAAACAAACTTTAGTCGCTGAAAACCGTATATTAGGCGACAATACTTCCTTTTAGTCGCTAAAAACACACGGTTCGGCGACTAAACCCTTTTAGTCGCTAAAAACCTGCTTTTCGGCGACCAATTCCATTTTAGTCGCCATTTCATGCACTTTCAGCGACGAAATTTTTTTTTTTAGTCGCCGTTTGTGTTTTTTGTTGTAGTGGATGATGGTGAGGTGGGGGTGGCGGAGGTGACAATGACAATGTTAGTGGTTGTTATGGTGCCAATGATGATGGTAATGGTGGCGGTGGTATACAAGGTGAAGGGATAATGGTTGTGGTGATAGTGGAGAGGTGGTGTATTGGACGTAGTGATGGTATTTGTGGTGGTTTGATGGTGGGGGCGGTGGTATAGTAGTGATGGTGGTGGTATAGTAGCGACAATTATGATAACAATAAAGGTGGTGATGGAAGTGAAGAGTTGTGGTATCTGTTGTGGTGAGGTCACTTCTGATTATCATCCCCTTCGTGTTTTGGTTGGTGATTATTATAAGAAGAGGTAAATGAAATGACATTTTCCAGAAGGATATGAGGAAGTACAAGGGAAAGCTCTTATTTGATCCAATAAGGATTGGTGTGTCTCTAAAAGTGTGGCTGGGGAGTTGCATATTTCAAAGAAAAATACTGTCAATTCACACTTAGAAATTCATAATTTATCCCGAATGAATTTGTGTGGTGAAAATTAAATTGATAAAATATTCATGGATAAAATAAATTTGAACCTTTAATTATTATTATTATTATTTTTTTTTGAGCAAATTCTGATTGATAAGGATGAGTTTGTAGTATTGTTGTATTTCAAATAATGGAATCCACTCCAATTATGATCTTGACTTTCAAGAGTATTGTTTGTATGTCATCTTTTTGCTTAGGGAGTGCTTGGTTTGCCCCTATTCTAATTTGATTTATCTAGTGTGTTCTTTTATTTTTACTTCATTCTTGGCCATTGACTTTACATTTGATTGGCTTTGTTTCATGTTTCAATCTTGTTGAGATATGACTTTCAAGCTATGATGTTTTGCCTTGACCTTTTGTGTTTTATTGATGTAATTTGTTCGTACATCTTGTATTGTTATTTTATATCAATGAATCTTTATTTTGTTAATCCAAAAAAAAAAATATGATGATTGTGCTTGTGGCGACAGTAGCAGTCAGCTTGTTTGGTTCCATTTTTCTTAAAACACTTTTTAGAAAATTTTACCTTTTTGTTTTCGTGTTTTTTTGTTTTTACTGAATTTTTAAAAATATTTTAAGCATTTTTTTTTTACTTTTTAGACACACCTAACATAAATACATTTAAAAAGTAAAAAAATTGTAAAAAAAATATTTTAAAAATTTACTAAATACCAAAAATATAAAAAAAATACAAGAATTCAGTACATTTTTTGTATTTTTATGTATTTATTAATTTTTTAAAATATTTTTTCACAATTTTTTTACGTTTTAGATACATCTAAGTAAGGTGCATCTAAAAAAGTAAAAAAAAATATTGAAAATTTAAAAATATTCACTAAAAATAAAAAAATATGAAAACCAA